GATACCAAATATCGTAATTGTCACTATCCAACTTCTCTCCTCGATTAATCTCAGCAATGATGTTCTTACAAGCAGACGACATTCATGCTTGAACATTTTAGAGACATTAATTTATTTCCATACTTCAATCACATAATTTAATCTTGCAATGAATAAAAATTAAATCATAGTAATTTGATTTAAACATAAGATCGAGAGTTCTCTATGTACCCAATCATCACCCATATTAAAATCATATTACTATAAATTAACTTATTTCATGCAAAATACTGAGTTCTAAACACTATAGAACTCCCACTATATTAAGTTCTAAACACAATATAACTTCCACTAGATCAATGTATTAAACTAACATGAATTAACAAATAAAACATGTTTTTTTAACAAAGATCACTTAAATTAAATTAATACTTAATTAATTTAATTTCCTACATTACATTAAAAAAAAGAAGTAATTCTAGATTCTTCATAAACTTAACAGAAAACAAATTTAATTTATTTAATTCTTAATTTTAGGCATATATAACTTATTATATAAGCATAATATATTAAATTAATATATATCTGTATACGTGTTCAAATTATGGTAAAATATATCAAATGAAAGATAATTTCAACAGCTATGCATAGACATAAAATTTACGTAATTCTGATCTATAACTAGAGAGATATTGCCAAAACAAAAATACAATTTTCAGATAAATCCGAACACGACACATGTCACGTTACTGTTCATCTTCTTCGTACCTTTTCGTTTTTCTGCAACTCGGCCGAAATTTACGACCCTTATATCTCTCAGAATACTTGTAATATATCAATAGAAAGATAATTTCAAGATCTATGCACAGAATTAAAAATCGTGCGATTCAGAGGTATATTCAGAGAGATATAATCGAAACAATATTTTTGGTTTACTAACTATTTATATTTTTAATAATCATGAATGATAAGTAATATGGGTTACGAGAATTCGTTCATGATAAATTGAGAATATAAATATGTGAGAATCGAATCCAAATGGTCTGATACCAATGTTAGATTTTCTAATGTGAAGTGTGTTAAACCGAAAATATATCTTAGCCTGGTTTAGTGATGAACACTACTTGATTCAATCGGGCAAGAGTCGGGGATGAAATCACAGATGTAAATCAACCATTTGTCACCGTTCAAATGCTCTTGTAGTTGATTCCTTGAAGCTTTCTCTCTCTAAAACGTTTTACTCTCTCTCTAGAATTATTTTCTTATTGCTTGGATTGATCTCTTCTCTCTACAATGTATTCTATATATAGACAACCAAGAGATACATTGTGAATAGTCACATATGTTCAAAGAAGAGACATATATCCTCATTGAAGAAACACATACATTCAATGAAGAGTTGCAAAGGTTCATTTATGGAGTTTAACCAATGACTACCGGTTAACCAAAACCGGTTGGTATACTCCATGGGCGCAAATCAACCATAAACCAATAGATTAAATACTTGTAATTGATATGATGAAAGCAATCATGGATAATCTTGATCGCCACAATGCAATAACAAACGCTACGTACGAGCGACATAAGGCACTAATAATTTCGTATGGATTACCACCAGCTCTTCAAGAAACAAATAAACAACTCAATGGAAGTTCAGGAAGAGCCTTGTTCGGAAAAACACCACCATCACGTCACTAGCTCAGTTCCAGAAATAGAACGCGTCTTGGAGGCTACTCAAAACACCCTTACAATTAAGATCACCAGAGTAAGAGAGTATCACTAAGATAAACTCAGAATCTAAACTTTCACGGAAAAACAAACCTGAGTGACCATGTTCTCAATAGCATAATTCACCACAGACAAACAAGACGCTTGATACTGTCAAAATTTCGTGGAAATTCTCGGCGGATCAGTATAAACTTGGTTCTCAAGACTAAGGACGGATTTCCTTAATAACTTCCATCAGTTATCAAAATAATTTTCTGACCAAAAATTTTCTGAATGGTTGCTTGACGTAGTTATTTTAAGAGTTTGAATGTCTTAACTCTTAACATAACTGAGAGACAACATACTTTTTTATAGGTTTTATATTAACTATATACGGTATTATAAAAATTATTTTTAAAATGTTTTAATTATTTTTTGAAATGGTTTACTATTTATAAATGTTTTACTTAAAAAAAAAACTTTTCATATGTAAAAACGTTTTAAATTATTCGCATAATCTTTTCAAGTTATCAATAGTATATTAAAAATGTTTTTTCTAAGTATATTTTTAGATTTTAAAGTTTTTATTGCTAGGTTTTACCAATTGGCAAGATTTCATGTTATGGACATTTTAAAATTTTCTTAACTTGTTTAAAAATTATTGAATTATTACAATATGGTTTTGTATTTTAAAATTTTAAACAAATATTTAAAGTGTTTTTGCTTCTTAATTATTAAAACATTTATAAAATATTTAATAAATGATTTATAATTTTTTACTTTAGAATTTGTTAATTTAGAACTATTTATATTTTTGTATATTTTATTAAAAATATTATTATTTTGTTTATTTTTAAAAATGTCATAATGCCAGAGGAATCATTATTTTGATTAGTTTTTTAAAATTGTCGACGCCGTCAAGAATTCATCAGAAATACTCCCGACCGATTAAAATTCATCGGAAAATTTTCAGAAATTTTTTTTTGAGTTTGCAAAAATTGTTTTCTAGATGCCCTAGTTATGGCGGATGACTTTGTCAAAATCGTCAGAAATACTAATTCTCAACGAATTTTCAACGGAAATCATTTGTTAATTTTTAGTGTAAAGTTTTGCCAATAGTTTTCATTTCGTTTTGCGTAATAATCTAATGTATTTATGCTACACATTGTTATTAGATTCGAAATACAATCCTCTACGTAAAGTTTAATCAAATGTTGCATTAGATGCTTTAAGTTTTAATTTGGATTTTGCCTATGCGAATGTCCAGTTGAGTTGAAAAATATCACAAGTAATATACAACTAAACCAAATCCAAAAATCAAAACAAGACCTGACCTGATAAAAATTAATCCAAATCTATTTGAACCGATATAAATACTGAATAGATAATGTTTGTGGTATTGTGGATTATAGGTTTTATCCGAACCAAACCTTAATCCAAACAGATATCTGGAAAAACTTGAAAATTCAAAATCCCAAAAAAATATTTTGTACAAAACCATATCTTAAAACCTGATATTTATCTAAAAATACTAAAATATTATCGAGTAGCTGAAATAATTATAATATTATATAAATAATTAACTCATATACTTAGTCTAAAATATATTTTTATCAATACTAATATTGTTAAGTTCAAAAGTTATATTTCAAGTTTAATAAGTTTACTTATGAAGTTACAACAATGTTGTTTTTAAAGTTTAAATAATGTTTCTTACGTTTATAGACCTGTTAATTTTAATCGTTTACATTTCATTATTAATGATTATTCTTTGTACAAGGTTTTGATTTGTCATGTATTAATATGTTTGATGTTGTTACATATAGTTTAGTGACGAGTCTCTCAAAATTACTTGGTTTGAGTAAGCAGCATACACAAATTTTATTGAAAAGATTGAAAATATATTGAATTTTAATAAGTTGGAACCAATACCCAATAACCGTTTATTTCTCGTGATCGGAACATCTCTCGTTTCATCTCGATCCGTCTTACCGTCGGATTTTTACGATAAAAAACCGTAAAAGGTTTGTTTTCTCGTAAAACCTCGAGTAAATCGTATAAAACAGCAAAGGTTAAACGAAACACCGAACATTGCAAAACTATACGATTAACTCGAGATATTTTATTAAACCCCGCTAAAGACTTGTTTTCTCAGAAAACCTCGAGTAAATCGTATAAAACGGCAAGGGTTAAACAAAACACCGAACATTGCCAAACTATACGATTAACTCGAGATGTTTTATAAAAACGGCATCGTGTCATGAAACGATCTCATTTAAAGTCGTAAAACGGCTAAATCGCAAAACGGCTCGGAAAGTCCTAAAACACGATAAAAGCCCACTCGCAACTTTAGACAAGATCCGGCACAAAGATATGATGACGACTTACTCATTATTCGCAGAAGTGGGAAAATGTCAAGTTTGAAGATAAAATAGAACTTTTCCGAAGAAAAATGGAAGGATCGAGAAAAATGGAAGATTTCCGACAAGCGGAAATCAGGGCGGAAAAAGAAAGACCAATCGCCTAGAGAAGGAGTATATAAGCAGAAGGTCGAAGACAAGAAGAAGGGACACAATTTTCAGAGCTCACAGAAAAACTTAGAGCATTTAGGAAATTTTATGTTTTTGTTATTGAGTTGCGTCTCAGCTAGGGTTTTAGTCTTAGGTTGCTAGAACTAGGAAACTCGCCGTCAGCTCTTGTAACCAAGGCTTTCACTTCGTTGTACCTTTCTTACAAAAAATCTGAATAAGAAACCTCTTTGCTCTCTTTTCGATTCTCATATTATTTATTATCTTTCTCGTATTTTTATTGCTTGCGTGTGGTTAAGCAGATAGCCGGGACCTCTGGGAAAGTTAGGTTAACTTGACGTTCCCTAATTTACGATAATCGACAGTGTGAATTTCGGTTCCCACAATTATAAGGTCTTATATGTTTCTGGAAATGTCTGCTTCGTGGATCATCCCCTTCCAAAAGTTTTTTTAGAACTGCTGGTGGTTCCTTCAGTAATGGCAATTGAACTTGTCCTTGCATACAACATAAAGAAAAATTAGGTTTCTTTGAAATTTTGACGCTTATTAAGCCTTTCTCCATACCACATGATAGCACCACAATGAGAACATTTGTAGTCAAGATCACCTTCATCTACGTAATCTGCATAATTCATCAGAAAAAAAAAAACAATGAACAAATTTACAAATAGCCTTTTTAAGTAATAGTGGAGTCTTGATAAAAACAAATATGCTGCTTTACCAGTGTCTTTCAAATTGATCTTAGATGGTTTAAGTAGTTTTAAAACATTACCAGGATCCATTAAATCATGCTGCTTTATGGACATTGTTTAGCACAACATTTGCTTCTTCATCCATAGAATCATCCAACTCGGATTCATCATCTTCTGTGTCAGTGTTCTCTGGAGAACTACAGTCAAAAACTTGTTGGTGATCTGTATGAATTATCCCTGCGAATTGTGTATTTACATATAGATGCATAAGTGTATAAATTTCCAAATTATTAAAAGAAAGCAACTTAGGATACGGTACCTCCAAAAAAATCATTTCCAACAATCTCATCATCTTTGTCCATGCTATGAGTTGATGCATCCACTTCACTCTTTGATGGTGAATGTGAGTTTGTTTTACGCAAATGTGATATATTAGTAATGTCTTTAAGTACCGAACGTGACATTCTGAGTTGATGGGACGCCTTAGATTTAATAGATTTGAAGCTATGTAAATCCTCTGACAATGAAACGAATAAGAAGGTTGGTGCACCACAATAAGAAATGAACCATCTGAAATAAATTTATATGCTCTAGCATTGGTGTGTCTTGTACTTGGTCTTTGATTAAATCCAGACCTGGCAAAGATTTTCACATGGAAGACATTTTGAACATAAGTAGGTTGATCAAGATTTTATGTAATGACTTTAACTTGAGCTGAGAAACACTTACCAAGGAGACATCGTCTTTTGTTTCTACTTATTTGTTGATATGATGAAGTTGTGTAGTCCTTATCTTTGTGGTTTTCAAGGGTTTCAAAAAGTCAATAATATATGGAACTCAGTGGAATATCCTGATTTGATATGCTTTTCCATTTATTGTAATCCACCAGGAGGTGACGCTGCACTTTGATGGTTGGTGTCGTGGACTTTTTGTCAGAAAATACTTCGATTCCGTCGTCTACTTTTTTCCGTCGAGACATCTCAGACAAAGATGTAGTTTTTTCGTTTGAGAAAAATGTCAAAAGAAGGAGATTGGTAAGGAAGAGAAATGTGAGCTTCTTAGGTAATCTGTTATGCTTTAATTTACGGATATTAGTGAATTAGATAAAATATATTGTTACCTTAAACCCTAAACCCTAATAGGATTAGTGATTTGAACCTCTCCTATAACAGGCAAAATATAAATATAAAATCAGTTTGTATAAATGGAGTGTAAAAAACATGAAGAAGCAAGTAAAATACCTCTAAAGAAATTGATTTTCGCAAACCTAATCAAAGCAACAATAGGTCGATCTTGGAATTCATCAACAAAAGCTTCTATTTGCTCAGCATAAGTACCCAAAGACAACACGCAAGACTGTTTCCTCTGTTAAGTTTAGATAGTTAATAAGGGAAGTAGTAAAACTATATATAAGATTAGATAATATAGTATATAAGAGAGGTTATAAGATCAAATTGTGGGTCGATTAATCGAAATTGAACCCTCTTTTTGTCTTCTCCTTGTGCTTTGACGGTTAGAACGTCACCAAGGTCATGTATTTTCCCCATCACATCTGCTTAAACCAAAAATCTCAGAGTCTGAAATTTGATAATGATCAGTCAAATAATTAATATTAAGTACAATAAGATACTCTTCAAAAACACGGTACCTATCAGGAAGGGTAGATCTTTAGGGTCATTTCCATTTTTGGGAAACTCGGCTAGGTTCACAAAAACCGATCATCATCTAAATCCGAACCTCTAACAACAGTCTCACCTAAGATATTCATCTTGTATGGATGGTGTGTTGTTTTATACTGTCCACCAGCTGATTTCATATGACAGTTTTCAATAACTCCCCATTTACCTATAGGGATAGCCATTGAACACGGAGCATGTGTGTTTTTTTGCAAGTTGCTTGCATTTTGTTTCCCCAACAAATAAACAGAGTTATATTATAATATCGATAAAGTACAAAACTGTTAGATATAATGATAAAAACATTAGTAAGATAGTTTACCCATTGGTCTGCTAAAACCATCTCCTCCATAATGTGTGTTGGATCTCCAGGAAAGACATTTCACCTGGACTCGCCAGTGATCCTTAGGCCTGAGTTTGGTGAGAAGAACAAAAGTAGTCATTTTGACATTTTTGGAGGTTTTGCTTTGAAAGATAATATTTCTACCTATAGGGTAAGACGTATATATAGTCTCATGGGAAAAAATAGGGTTAACGCCACAAAAAAATTTCGAGATCTTGTTAGTTTTGATATAAATCCTTTAAAGAGAATATACGTAACTGACATATGCCTAAAATGATTCTCTAATAGTTTAGATTTCGACTTTTTAGGAATGTAAGTTTTCAATAGTTAGATATTGACTTGATTTTCAAGATTATAATTTATGAACCAATAGTAAATCAATGCCGTAATTCTTTTGTTGATTGTGAAAATATAGGAAGATATTTTTTGGAACATAATTTAGTTAAAAAGAGTAATAAATTATCAGTTATGATTCTGAAATCGATTAAAATGTGTAGTGATAAGATCATTTTTGTTTAAACACTATTTATTTTTAATAATGATATCAATATGATAAATAGATATACTGGTTTGAATATAATTTGATGATATTTAAAAAAATTCAGTATTGACAAATTGAAAATTTACATATGTTTTTTTTTATATGTATTTGAAATTTTAGAATTTTGGAATTTTTATATAATTATCTATATGTAGGATCAGAAACAATTGTAATTAGAGTTCGTAGATCAAAACTTAGAATTTAATGGACTCGATTTCATATATCTTTTCACTTTTCAGTGTTCGAGTGATGAAAAATAAACGGAGTGTCACTGGGCTTGATTGGTAGAATATTAGCAAGTTCCATAATACTTTATTAAGAAGCAGTTGATAAAATATTTGCATTTAAAATATATAGAGTTTCAAAACTAATCTTATTATATAAAGAAGGGTTTTCTTCCCTCTTATGATGCCATGTCACTAAATAGGATGAAGAGAAAATGACACATGGCATGTAAAATTATTATTATAAAAAAATGTTTAATATTAACCAAGGCTTATTTATGTGAATGCATTTATCAGTTTTTTTTTAAAAAAAGTATGGATCTTTTTATTTTGAGATCAAAATATATTAAATCAACATATATCCATGAATTCAAAAAAAATATAAAGCTGAAAATAATCCATAATTTATATTCTTAGATATTTTATTTTATCAACATTGACAAATGTTAGAATTTACTGATATAATAAAATAAAAAATTATAAATAGTGAAAAATATTATTAAAAAAATAACAAAATATAAATAGTGAAATTTACTGTTATTTTTATTTTCAATAAATTAAAAAAAATCAGATACTCACTAAATTTGAATATATATATATATATATATTTTTTTTTTATGTGTGTATAAGACTATATTTTCAATAGTAGCACATTAGAAATCTTATCATATAAAGAAGAGTTTTCTTCCCTCTTATGATGCCATGTCACTAAATAGGATGAAGAGAAAATGACACATGGCATGTAAAATTATTATTACAAAAAATAATGTTTAATATTAACCAAGGCTTATTTATGTGAATGCATTTATCAATTTTTTTAAAAAAGTATGAATCTTTTTATTTTGAGATAAAATATATTAAAAAAAAATCATAGTAGCCATGAATTCAAAAAATAAAAAATAAAGCTGAAAATAATCCATAATTTATATTCTTAGATATTTTATTTTATCAACATTGACAAATGTTAGAATTTACTGATATAATAAAATAACAAATTATAAATAGGGAAAAAATATTATTAATAAAATAACAAAATATAAATAGTGAAATTTAATGTTATTTTTATTTTCAATAAATTAAAAAAAAATCAGATACTCACTAAATTTGAATATATATATATATATATATATATATATATATATATATATATATATTTATGTGTGTATATGACTAGATTTTTAATAGTAGCACATTAGAAATTAATATGCATTAAATATACAAGGAGAAAAATAAGAATACAAACTAAATCAAAAGGAATAAACACGTCAAATAAATACAAAGATTTCCACATAAATTGGCTGAAAATAATCCATAATTTATATTCTTAGATATTTTATTTTATCAATATAGACAAATGTTAGAAATTACTTATATAATAAAATAAAAAAATATAAATTGTGAAATTTAATGATATTCTTATTTCAATAAATTAAGAAAAATCAGATACTCATTAATTTTGAATATATATATATATATATATATATATATATATATATATTTATGTGTGTGTATCACCAGATTTTTAATAGTAGCACATTATGAATTAATATACATTAAATATACAGGAAAAAAAATCAGAATACAAACTAAATCAAAAGGAATAAACACATCACACAAATAAAAATATTCTCACATAAATTATATTGTATGTTGTTGTGAAAAATAATATTGTATACACACTAAACTTATATCAATTACTGCGTAAAAAAAAATCGGACACATAAAAATAACTATGTGCTTTTATGAAAAACAAACAAAACATAAAACATTATAATACTAAAAATAATATAATATTACAAAATATGTTTGACAGTAGATAAAAATAAAAATGTCCAAAATATAAACG